TTAGTAACGCCATCTAACTATATCAGATCTTCTTTATCACATAAAATTATCCTCGTCCTTACACAAATGCTCTACATTATAATTTCATCCCTTTTTATCTTTTCTTCCATCTTCGTTCATAGCTGTTACACTTCACACTCGTACTCTCTCTCTCTCTCGCACCCACTTATTTACTCTCCGGCATTTTCTCCTCTCCATATCTGCTTCTCTCTTGATTTTTTGATTGTACAAACAGGAACATTAAAACGATAAGCAAAAAATTTCACATGGGGAAATTTATCATTCCCAGCAAAATCAGACGACTTGGGTTTTAATCCGCAGGCCTAATACTCCCTTTTAACAAGATTTCCTCTGTGAAAGTAAAATTTCCTTTTTATTTAACATTTAAAAAGGTTAAAAAACATGATTCGTCAATTGTAAACAATATAAAAAAACTCAGTATGCTTGTATAAATTATTGAATGAATAAGTATTAGTCTCTTTAGAGCCGTTCAATCAAAGATGAATGAATAGAAAGTAGGCCATTTCACTTCTACTTGATTTTTGATGATTTATACATGTGAATATACATATATAAAAACATAGAAAATGGAAGAAAACTTAGTTATACCGTATATAGACAGAAGGAAATAATAAACTATAGAAGTAAAAGAAGACAAGTATTTTCGTGCACAGAAAGCGAAGCAATGCTTTGTCAATGTAAGGAAATATTCTGGGTCATTTGGAACTATCTTATATTCTTTTAAAACTTATCTAATAACTGACTAGATCTGTATTTACCGTCTGAGTTTTTGTATAGAGATATACAGTATAACCGACTTCTCCTATTTATTATATTTTATTCAGTATAAGAAAAATGACATTATAAGGATTATTACTTTAGCCTAAGCGCAATTAAATCTATAGAGACGGCATGCATATCTTAATAATGCATGAAGTGAGAGGAGTGAAAATTAGCGTAAAGTCTTTCCCTCTCTGCAAAGGAAAAAGGGAAAATGAGGCCAAAAGAGTTTGATGAGGGACGTTTGGCATTCCAACTAGAAATAAATGATAAAGGTAAATGAGAAAAGTAAAAAGATTTATGGAATTACGCTAAACACATTCTAGAATGGATAAACTAAATACCTAGTTGAAAATAATACATCTTGGATAAAGGCGGAACGAGAGTATCTAGAGTAATTAATTACTGTTAAAGAATAACCAAAAAGTCATTATACCCACATATCTGCTTTTGATCAAGTTGAAGAGAAAACCAATAAATTCACCGGCAAGTTTATTTTCCAACTTTCTACGTGCTACTTTGTTTGTTTGTATGTTTGTTTGTTTGTTTTGTTTGTCTATTGAATTTCTTTTAATCTATGAGAAAAAATCGTTTTTTAATAAATCGTTCAATATTCTATCTACCATCAAATTGTACGCTTATCGGTGACGCCTTGATTGTCATTGTTGTGAAAGCCTATCAGAAACAATTAATGTCAGTTAAACGTGCCAATTCGATTTTCGAAACAGCAAATCAACTACTCAAAGGCAATCGTAGACATGGAAATAAGTAGTTTGTTACCGGCTATATAGTAGAACGTTTGACGTTTCAAAAGGCGCTAACTATCAAATTCTTAGTATTGCTGTGAAAAGAATTCCGAATTTAACCGCCTCTAAGACTAGCCTACTTCCGAGATTGGTATTAACTATCAACCACCTACGAGCCTTTCTCAGTTAAGATATATCGTTAAAGTTCAAGGGTCAGTTAGTATGATCTCTTCTACTGCCGTAGTTCTAGAGGGTTGGGTAGATTGAATCACAAGCTCGATCTGATGTGTGTGAAACGAACAGTTGCAGCGAGGAAAATTCTATTTATATAAGTTTGTTAATTTAAGGAAAAAAAGGAGAGCTATTTCTTTTTGGGAAAGAAGTTATCCTCAATTTACTCGCCCGCTAAACGTAAAAAAAGGCTAAGATCATTAATTACCTACGCGTTCTCTCTACGAATATCTTCTCTTCTTTGTAGGCTGACATTCTCTAAACAATGAACAAAATAGCTATACCATCTATGCTCTTTTAAGTAGTTAATTTACACCTTAAAAAGTAGAAACAAAATAGAAAATTGTCATTTGAATAGCTTTCTTAAAAGCGCATTAAAATACATTTTTATACGATTATTTTCATTAAGAAAACATCTTTCGAATCATTTTTTCTTTACTCCAAACTAGAAAGGTTGAAGTAAGCAGATACTGTTTGTTTTTACTGTATAAAACGATTAATTGATGCAATGGCTGAAAAAATACTACAACAGAATACAAATATGATCTAATTAGTTTTCTTCAACGGAGAGAGGAGAAAGTTTCTCTCTCTTTTTTTGCGTTTATCTTTCTTCATCTTCTTGTCATTCTATACGCTTGAAAGAGAAATTCAATTAAACAAAAAATTATCGTCATTAGATACATTATAACTTTAAAATTATAAAATACCTATACTCTATCGTTTCTATATGATTTTTATTCATATTTTCAAGTATAAAAGGTACCTTTTCCAATAATAATACTCAATTTTTTATAATTGTTCAATTTTTATGAACATTATTAGTAATATAAACAAAGGTTATCTATTATTTAACTGAATAAAAACAATCTTCTCTACTTCTATTATGATAATATTCTTAATAAATTATTTCAAATTTTGCGTACAAGTTATAAATATATTATATTTTTTTTATCATTCTGTCAGCCTGCAGGTGGCGAAACTACTTAGACGTTTTTTTTCCCAATGCAGCCATCTGGCGACAGAAAACTGCTGAATTTTTTTTTAGCATAAAAAGAAAACTGGAATGAATATAGTTCGTCTATAATAAGGTATATATAGAGAGAATGCACACAAAAAAACGACAAATGCTTGAATGAAGCTTATCTCTTTACATCTAAGTTGTTTATTTTAATGAATACGTTTTTGTTAGTATGTTTGTTCTATTATTAGCTTATTAATGCTATTAAACTGTATAAATTACTATTTTCAAATTTATTGAATTCTATATTCTACAAAACATATAGTTAAAAATTAAAATATATGAAATATAGGCCTTATTTAAATAAAAGAATATATATATATGCTTTATATGCTATTTATATACATATTCAAAAAAAGAATTTTAAGATCATAAACTTGATTAATAAATATATTTATGAAATATAAATATGATCTGATGCATATCCTGTGTAGTTTGTGCCCGTATAGTTGACTATTATATGCGTCATTTGGTCGTCCTCCGAGTGAGTTTGATCGTATTGAATAGAGCAGATTGTTTGATTATCCAAGTCAAGTTTACATTTTATACGGGAAATTCCTGTAAAGTTATATCGACAGACTAATTGAGAGAAAATACCACACACATCAATAACAATTCATTAGCAACGGCAATCAGTAAGGGACGCTTTGACTGTATTCGCACGCGACGTCTAAAAACGAGACTCTCTGCCCCTTGGGCGAATGTGAAGGAAAGTGTCAAAAGCGGCCAAGCGGCACAATTACATCATTGTAACGCCCGTCTCGGCTACAGGAGACGCTCCTCTTTATACATTATACTATTGCCGAATGGCCGTCGCATTAGCGCGTTAAGTTCGTTTTCCATTTTATCTAATAGCCTATACACCCCCAGTGACAATAGCCGCGTCTATTTCTCGTTTTCTTTTAGACGCCATACCGGACGGTGATTAACTATGGACGGTCGATCGACGAGGATCTTTTCGATCAGCAGCGTCGCGAAAATTGTGCAGATGGACACCGATTTCGGTCCTAATTGGACGACTTTGACTTTGCCGGATGAGTGCTGTATGATTTAATCCCCCTCTTAACGTCTGCAGAAGATCGTTGTACTGTCCATTCGAATTTGTTAATTGTGCTTATTTTCTTTTCAAATACCAACGAATTTAAAGCATTATTGATATTAAAAAAAGAAAGAAAAAAATATATATTTGTTTTTTTTTAATAAAAAAAAAGTCATTCAACTATTTATTTAGTTAAATTTTGCGGAACATATCTACACTTTAATTACAGGAACCGGAAAGAACTTTGTATACTTACATGAAAAGAGAACAAAACCGCTGAAGCCATTAGTAGAAGAATTATCACGAGTATATAAGTTCCAATTAATTTTGACTATCTATAGGTTTTTCTTTTGCATACAAAGTTCTCCTTTTATATTTTAGATTATCAATTATTATAGACTTTTTGCTATTTAGAAAAGATGTATAAAGTAAAATGAAAGAACGAAAGAAAAAATGAATAAATGAATGAACGAATAAATAAAAGAAAAAGAGATTTCATCAACGATGAACAGGGGAATAAATTAACTGAAGAAAACCTCATAAAGAACTTAATAATAAAGATTTTATGTGGCAGGTGCTTTTCTTTTAAAATACAAGTTTTCGCTCCTTTTTATTAATCTTTCATTATTTTCATCTTATTATATAATCAGCAATTAAATAAGGAAATTAAACTGACTCCTTATAGCTATATCTTATTGTTAAATGAGGTTAGTTGAAATGTTTCTTTCCTCTGTTATACAGAAATATTTAGTTAACATTTTCATTTTCCATTAATGGCAAAATTATATTCCTGTCTCTTCTAATATACAACCCTATTAATAAAATAATAGCTCATTAAGGTCCTCAGATAAACAGTGGTTAGCTTTTATAGAATTAATATCTCCAGTCAGAAAAGATTCAGACTGAGACGGCCCATAGAGAAAGATAGAAATAGATAAAAGATTTAGGTTTTTTTGTGCTTTTAAGGAGAATTCATTAAAAACAAAATATAATAAAGCTCCCAGGATATATATTAAATATATTCGAACAAAACTAAATAGATAAATTCTCCGTGCGAAATTCAGTTAGAAAACAAGCTGGAGCATTATTTGCGTACAACTTTAAGCAACCAATGAACGTCAAGATAGTTGAATAAATTATGAAAATGAGCATATCTTAGCTTTCCATTCGCCGTCTATTTTCACATTACGAAAGTCGTACATTCTCCTTAAACTCTCATTCGACATGGATTATCCCTGGCCAACTGCAAATCCCTTGCCTAACGACTACTATAACAACTGTGGTAAGTATTATTTCATAATCAAATTTGCATGTATTAGACTTTTTTCCGAGGGAGTTTCTTTATTTATGAGAAAATTTTAAATTTCTTCACATTCGGTTGACGAAAACAATTAGTCATTTTTCATAAAAAAGCGTAGACAATACTGGAACATTGATTAGGCGACGTCAACAATCAATGCTTATAAAGAGAAGACGGCTAAATGAGCCGCTGCCGGCGGCTCATCTCTCTCATTAGATGAGTAGAAACGGTCGGGAATTTTTTTTCATTAACGCCGCTTTTGTGACGTCCGAATCAGGCAGCTGCCAATCGGAAACAAGGTTTGTCAAAATGTTGAATACTACACGGGGCACCTGCTCAAAGTATCTCTCGGATTTGTTAAAGAATTTCCTTTAACCAGCCCCCCCCCCCTTCGCTTATTTTTTCCGTAAGCGCCATATCGCCCATTCGAATTACGACAAAAGAGTTTTCCGAAAATCATATCTTTGTTCCCCTTCTTCCTTTTCCATAGATAATATATTTTATTCTATTACAAACTACATTCTATTTTCTATTTTTATAAAGGAAAAAAATTCACTTACAAATATCTTTTCTCTGCCCCATATTGTTAAAAAATCGCGGATTTGCGCAGAACGAGCGGAGTAACGCCGCTTCGATAAAGACAATTTTCTCTACAGGTGGTAAATCATCAATAGGGTATTTACTAGTCTTTTTCCGTCTATCTTTACCAACTTAAAAAACAAGGCTAGATTTAATAGCTTACTTTATCCATATAATTAACGTTATTTCCTTTGAATCGTATAGAAGAAATTTCTCAGCTTTTTCAAAATTGATTTCCCTTTTAACACCTTTTTCTTTTTCTCAGCTAATTTTTTATTAAAAGTTGTTTTTTTAAAAAAACAACAAACGAAACTTCTTTTCTATCTTTCTTTCTACTCATTTTTTAAAATATGCTGTATATAGCGCACATTTTCAATACAACCTAAATATAGAACGTTGGAAGACATTTTAATAAGCCTATATAACGCTTTCGCCAATAAGAATAGATGGTTAATTATTGCCTAGTTAATTACCGTACGGGTATATGATCTTATATTTCTGCGAGTCTAATTATGGAAGAGAGAAGGAAAAAGTAAACTAAAAAGAGGAGAATGAAAGAGAGAGAGAGAGAGAGAGAGAGAGAGAGGGAAAGAGAGAAAGAAAGGCTAAGGCTGGAGTGAACGGGAGAATAAGGGATAGGAATAATAAAGAATTGTTTAAGATATCGTTGTTTGTATTTTTAATAGTTTTTATCAGTAGGAGTTTTTTAACATGGAAGATATGATAAAAAAGAGAAAGAAAAGATATAAATATAATGATAAGGCTTAAAACTAGGACAAGAGTTAGTCTATATTTTCATAGGGAACAAATAAGAAGAGAAAAGGTGTAGAAAGTAAACGAAAAAGTATAATTAAAATATCGTTAAGAATAGCCCGAAACTGCGTCACCTTTCTTGTCGCGCGCACGACCGTTCCCATCGGCGACAAATATAAAAAAGGCAATGTATATAGAAAGAATAGGGGAGGGAAGAGGGAAGAGAGGGAGGTACGAGTTAGGGCGAATAAGAGAAAAAAAAACATAGAAAGAAATACAACGACTACTTTGCGGCGATTATGAGCAACGAAGCTAATCATACTTATCAACAGCCGCTTCCCAATACGCTACTTTTATGGACGCAAATCGGCACCAGTCAAAAGGGTTATTGGACGAAACTTGCCCAGTTTGCGGTGATAAAGTCTCTGGTTATCATTATGGCCTTCTAACCTGCGAAAGCTGTAAAGGTATGAAAATTTAATTTGACAGCGCGAATTTTTTCAAGCAAATCCGGTCTTTGATGCGATCACTGAGCATCCTTGGACACTTTACGGTCGATTTGAAACTGTAATTTTGCAGTAGACTAGATTTAACTATTTCCCCCCTTCCTTTGATATATTTTTTCTCATTTTAGGCTTCTTCAAGAGAACAGTTCAAAATAAAAAAGTTTATTCATGCGTTGATCAGCAAAATTGTCCAATTGATAAGACTCAACGCAAAAGATGTCCATATTGCAGATTTCAAAAGTGTTTGAATGTTGGAATGAAATTAGAAGGTTTGTTAATTTTTTCTTATTATTTTATTAAAATTAAGCAGATAATTTTAATTCTACTAGTTTGCATTAAAATCATATAGGTCAACCAGTTAAATTGTCATTTAACCCTCTTTTAACGCATTTATGAGCATTTAGGTCACCGAGTAGTTGGAATTTAGGTGAAGTTTATTAATTACCAGCTATATTTGTGTTTCCTTTAACGTCATATCGCTATTCTATTACAAAGTAAGCGAATTTATTTAAAAAATATATGGTAATTAGATATCTTCGACTTTAGACGAGCTACACAACGTCATCTAGTAGTCGATTTTAACGATAGAAAAATCTGGCAACTAGCGACATCTATAAGACAAAAATGTTGTTTATAAAAAAATCTTGTTTAATCTGTTTACGGAACCCATTTTGTTGCGAATCTTATCACCTTATTTGTTGCTAGTAGGCCTATAAATTACGTGTTAAAAGTATATAATTAGTCCTTTGTTCAATTCTATCGAATGAAAAAATTTACTATGATAATTTGTTTACGTAACTATCTTATGAGACGCTCAGAAGTGATATAATCTTCCTTCGAAATCAGCTTTATCAACAAAATTTCGATTGATACATTATCCTGATAAGGTTAAAGAAAAAAATTGCCTATAAATAACTTTTTTTGTCTTTGGTACTTAAAAAGCGAGCACTAAAAAGAAAGAGAGAAGGGAAAAGGGACAAAAGGGAAGAATAAGATTTAAGATATAAAGAAAATCTATTAGGGGGAAAATATTTATATCTTTAAAAATAAAGAACATAAAAATTTCTGAAGCTTATTGAAAGAGAGGAGAGAAAGAGAGAGAGAGAGAGAGAGAGAAAGAGAGAGAGAGAGAGAGGGAGTGTGTGAGAATATATAAATATATATATATATATGTGTGTGCTTGTGTATGAGTGGTGGGGAAGAGAATAGAGAAGGGAGATAGAGAGAGCGCAAGAAAAATATATCTTAATAATATCGATTAATCTGTTTACAAAACTAAAACGTATTGATAGAAATAAAATTAAAAAAAGTATATTATGAAAAGTGTAATAAAAAAAGATATTTAATTGCAGCCGTTAGGGCGGATCGTATGCGAGGAGGAAGAAATAAATTTGGACCAATGTACAAAAGGGATAGAGCTTTGAAGCAACAAGCTCTTAGGCAAAGACAGCATTTTATACAGTATTCTTCCAGTTTTCCTCTTCAAATTCATCCCCCGCCTCCTGTTGAACTTACACCAGACATCAAACCTGACATCAAACCCGATTTAGGCCAACTTTGTCCATCTCGGATTCAACAATCGCCTATTTACGAAATACCGCATCCTCCTTCGGCTTATCAGGAATTTCTTCCCCCGGAAATTCATCAACCCCCAGGAGGACTTCACCGACCAATCCCTGACGTTATTCATCTTCTAACAGAGGCCTGCTGTAACTGTGAGAGTTCGAGCTTCTTCTCGTGCCTAAGTTCAACAATAGAACAAGAGCTTATGAAGTGGGTAACCACTTGTTCGAGACCAATTTTCGTTAACGAGAATAACGATTTGAGCGCTGAGTTGATTAACGTTTTATGTAAATTGACGGACGTTAGTCTTTTCAAATTTGTTGAATGGGCTAGACAAACTGTTCTATTCAAAGAATTGAACGTCGAAGATCAAATGAAGTTGTTGCAAAAATGTTGGTCGCAATCACTACTGTTAAATTTCCTTATAAGGCAGGCGATAACTGATAAATGTGACGAATTACTCCTTGTCCCAGGACATTCGATAACCTTTGATTTCCTAAATAGAATCGGTTTAAGAAAATGGACAGAGATATTGTGGTCGATGATAACGAGATGGAAGTCTTTAAGGGCTGATGAACACGAGATAGCATGTCTGAGATTTTATCTCCTTTTCTGCGGAGATCATGTAACCGATGAGAGAGTTAAGAAATGGAGGACAGACATTTCCAACGCCCTTAGAGATTATACTTATCCGGGTAAATTCGAACAGATGCTTTGCTTCCTGGAACACATTGAACAGCTTGCTGGAAAATGCGAATTCTATTTGTTTCAGAGACACTTAAAGGGTGATGTTCCATGCGGAAACAACTTACTCATTGAAATGCTTCATTGTCGTATTGCCTAGAACTCATAGTCTTATATTTTCTGTCTGTCTTCTTATATCTATATCTCATTTTCTCTCTCCCTCCTTTCTACCAATTGCCATTCCACTTTCCGCTCCCCATCCTTTTCTCTCCCTACCCTACACCTTATCTCTCCCCTCCTTCTCTCTCTCTATATATACAATATATATATATATATATATATATATATTGATAGTCGTGTTTGTCAACCTGCTTAATTAATTAAGAAAAGAATCGTAATTGTCGATTTCGTGTTTTTCCTTTTCAACACTTATAACCACCATAATACACTATCTGATTAATTATATGCCAACTCTATAATAATTTAGATGGGTAGGAAAGGGAAAGTGGAAAGTTTTGGAATAATAGGAGTTAAAATCAGGATGAGGGAGACATCAGCCTTTATGCAAAACAACGCGAGCAATGACTTTCCTGGATAGAAAACACTGTAGTGTGTATAAATAGTAGGAGAAATGACTTTTTCTATTGCTTTCTAATAATAATCGTAGGTATGTATGTTTATTATAATTATAGAAATACTTGACAAACATTAATATTGTATAGACATATATATATATATATATATATATTTATATATTCATAAATATAGAAAACCTTCTATGTACTGAATATAAACTGCTTTTTATTGTCTTTCACAGTACATACACCGTATAACATAGCATACAATAAACAATCTTTATAACAGGTAAAAGCAAATATAACATTAGAGACAAAAATCATTATTTAATCGTTATTTCGCTAATAACAATCTAGAGAATTTGTAAATAGTAAAAGGATAATCATGAATTAGTAATATGTTTGAAATTTTATCCGTTGGTACTGTGTCCTTTATATATATATATTGTAGATATATGTATATACTTATTAATAAACACCTGTTACATTTATTCTGTTGCCCCGAAGTAAAAAAATTGAAAAGGAAAAAAGAAATAGAAAGTAGATGGATAGACGATTGATTAATTGATTGCACGAATGGCTGAATGAATGAATTTATAAATGAATGAAATAGTAATCGATATTTCAATGTGAGAATATATTTATTTTTATATTTCTTCCTGTGAGTCGTCTTAGAGAAAGCAAACTTCTTGTCTTTTTCTTTTAAAAGCATAAGAATTAGGTAAATTAACATAAACACGCGATGAAAATTTTTATTACGTTCTAAATTATACTAATTCTTTCCTTCATGTTTCTCTCTTCCTCTCACTCATTTAATATCATTTCTTTCTCTCTAGTTATCTTTACTTAACTCCTTCTTTTTTTCCTTGCTTTACTTTACTCCATGGCTTTTATGGTATAAAAATCGATTGTGATTATTATTAGAATTTTTCAGTCTTTGTTAGACAAGTCACAAGACTTTGAGTATTCTGACTCGTGACTGGAATATCCTGTATATATTTACCTGAGCAATTTATAAATAATTTGGTATTTTATTAAAAAAAAAGACAACATTTCTGATAATTAACTGAAAAAAAGGAAAATCTACTTATTTTGTTTTCTTTATCTTTTCTTATAATAAAACATTATGAAACATTTATCTTGGATTTCCTTTTGAGAAGATAATAATAGTAATTTAAGGCAATCTAATAAGAAATTATATCTAAAATAACAATGTCAAGGACAGATTTAACTATCTAAAGGGATATTCTTCATGCTATCCTATGTCATTTCTCATTCTCTTCTCACAACTAATTCTATATATTTCACTTATTTTGCTCTTTATAGTTTTTAAAACCCGTCAAACTATTTTATTTTATTTGTTTTACTCTTCATTATCTTGTATTTGTACTTTGAAAAGGAAATTTACCGCATTATCGGTACTCGAATATTCTTTTTTTATTGAACAATAGAAATATTTCCTATGTTACTGAGTGCATTTAAACTTAAAATCAAGGCACTTTTGAATGTTTTCTTATACTGGCTAATCATAACTATCACTAAGATTGTATGTTAGTTTAGTTAAACATAATTCAAGAATCATAATTAAACCCTTATTGGTTACATATTGTATATACAGTATATAAACTCTTTTAATATTATGCATCAGTCTAAAATAAAGGATATAACACATATAAAATCAAAGAATACATTAACATATAAGGATATTTATACTAATTTATGCTTCTTACATCTATATAATTCAAATCAAAACTGGTTTGAATGATTAACAAGTTTCATGGAACAAATTTTGCAAAACTAGTATTTTTGCTTATAGAATTCCACTAGGGAATAGGCCTTTTAACATTCATAAAATTGATTTTTTTTGGTTGATATTTCAAGGGAATGTAGATTAATATATGCAGTTTTTTTAAGTATATGAAAAAAATTTTATACTTTAACTGGGAAATTTGCTTTCAATTTATTGACAGAGACTAAAAATTCAAATGAATACAATGCTCTAAAAAAACGGTATATAGGACAAAGTTATATATTGAATAGAGAGCTCTAAGAACTCAACCAAGTATTGAATATGTTTTCAGTTAAATATGAATAAACAAAGAATAAGGTGGTTATTTATTAAATATTATGAAATTGTCTCATTTCTCATAGATACACCCACTTATTGTATGTAAGGATAAAGAGACATCTACTGTATTTACAATATAGATGAAGGGTCTATGAAATTCATAGTAGATATTCCTTATATTCTATTTGATGTCGCCTGAAATTCTGGTACTTTTTGGTCTGTACATGTTGAATTGTACAATAAACCAAAAATTGTCACGATTTTCACTTGTTTAATCATACTTGAAATAAATAAATAGCATATTTTTTTGCAGAATAAGCTGAATAGAGTGAATAGAGGCCCATTTCCTAAAAAAGACTTGTTTTCTTGTTGTATGTATAAACGTATGCATATACTTGGGAGGGGGAGAGAAATAGCGACACGAAGATATTCTATAAAAAGAGAAAATATTTTATGATTTTATAGGGAGAATAACTTTCTTTTCTCTCCTTTTCGAGATCCTATTCTCTAATTTCAATTTCTTTTCTTTGCCTTTATTTCTCTGTTTGTCTTTTAGGTAACACTTCCCTTTATTATATACGGTTTTACTTTTGCTTCCTCTGTTTTGTAGCATCATCTTTTCATTTCTTTATCAATAATTAATACTATTCTTGAAATGATAGAATGAACAAAAGATAAAGAAGTAGAAGGCAAACACGATAGAAAATAAAAGGCAAACAATAATCTTTCATTTTTATTACTACGTTCTATTCTGTAAGTCTATTGTGTTGCTATAAATGTAACATATGTAGGGAAGGAAATATCAAAATGGAATAGTCTAGAGAGCGAAAAATTTGAAATGAGTATATACTTAAGCCGTTATATCAGGCTATTAAATAAATGAAGGCTTTATAATTGATAAGGGAGTGAACGAAAAAAATTGAACTACTATTTCTTTCAAACATTTTAGCTAGGCCTACTTTTTAATTTATTCCAAAATGTAATATGGGTAGATTCTTAATCAGGTTAGTAAAACAAAGTAACCAAAGACATTGTATATATATTTGACGAGTATGTTTAGTTTAGTAAAAGTTTAAAAGGAACGTTTCGAAGTAGAGATTAAGAACTTTTCAATGGGATTTTTTAAGCCTAGCACCAAAAAAACTGTTAAAGAATAACTGCCCAATCTGTTTTACATACATTTACTAATGTAGAATCCAGAGAGCTTAATATAGGCTAAATTAAATTCTAAAACGGGATATATATAGATCAGAGAATTAAACTGATTTGCATTACATCAAAGTTGAAAACTAATTAGAGATACAATTTAAAAAAATATAAAGACAAACTTTTATAAGAAATTCAATAGTAATAGATTTTTTATTGTTTATAAAGATATCTCTCTCTATATATGTATATATATATATATATACATATATATATATATATATATATATATATATAGATAAGTATATACATTATTCCTTTTATGTTAATTCTATATGTATCATTATGATTTTAATAGAATTTTAACAGCTGATAGGCTACTTTTATATTTTTTGTATGTAACATATTTAACCTTTCGCTTATTCGAAATTTAGATAACTGGTAAACTTGAAATTTATATCTAAACATGTAGCATAGTATACTATAATTGTATAATATTTATGATTTGATACATATACAATTACTAGATATGTTTATTCTTCTCTCCACATATTAAAAGTATCCAAAATATTTATAAATAGATATTATGCTTTACCTAGATTCTTATGGTTTCATATTGAAATCTTTATATTTATAAATATAGTTTTTTTCTCTCCTTTACTCTCATTCTCTCTTTCTCTCTACCGTTCTCATATATATATTTTTTTCTCGTTAAACAATAGCTTTTTAATAGCCCATTTCCATTCAAAAATTTTTCCCTGGATCCCCTTCTCCCTCCTCATTCCTTCACAATTTCGTCAATAAATCTTACCCTCTATTTTACTGCACTTAGCTCTATTCTTTCACGATGCTGCCCTAAACTCTTCAATTTTTCTTATATTTTTTACCGCCATCTGCCGGCCATATGCGGATTAAAAAATCTATACAAACACCAACTGCGCAATTTACTCTAACTGTGAATTTAATTGTTCATTAAACGCATGAAATTTTGCAGTTATATCTTAATATCTATTACGATATTTCGGTTATAATTTTGAGTCAATTAGTTTAGCATAGGCTTAGGGATACGATAGATAACTATGAATAGGAATAACGAGCACGTCCATTAACTAGGTTAGTGTGCCTGTATTATATTGTGAAGAGACTGAATTTTAAAGTAGTTGAATACAAAGGTTAGATAGTCTTTGAAACTTTCATTTCTTACTGGTAACTTTTAAATATAATTAAGGTATAAAATAAACTTCTCATAGTGAAGGAAATATGTATTAATTACCTACTTGTTTACGTAATATCGGGCAATAACCTCCAGAAAAGGCACTATTTACTCGAATCGAATATATCTTACTATAATTTAGGTAAAAAACAATTGTCTGTTGGCAGCATTGAAAGAAACGCTATTTCATTGATAAAATAGAAATAATAAAGGAAAGAACCAAGTTTAAGAATAAGTACGAGTTACTCGATCCATCATGTTATTTCAGTAAACATTTCTATTGTTTTTGATTTCTTTTAATCCGCTTTTTACACGCGCCTTTGGCTTTATTCTTTCCGTTTAATAATTAATATATAAACGCCAATATTCGAAGAAAAAAGGAATAAACTACTACAAGGGAAAAAAATCTCTTGTTAGCAAACATCCCAGGAATTGACTATATAGTATTTTTTTATTCGTCGTTTATTTATCCATCTCTAACTGTTTTTTTCCCTCCCCTCCCCTTATCCACCCTTATGTTTTCTTCTCTAGTAAGCATATATAAAAACTCTCTTCCTATATCCTCGTTTTGCTACTTTTTTCACATGTAATTCGGTTAATGTTTTTCGGCCTATTATGCAAAGTATACAGGAAATTTTAGGTCTAAATAGGATAGCATGACGATTCCGCATGGTATGATTGTAACGTATGATTAATATCTGTGTGAAATACGTTCATATTGTAATTCGAGTCCCATCGGACTATT